TAAGAACTGGAAACAAGGCTGAAAGGGTAGCAGGAGGAAATAAAACCAGTAGCATGGGAGAGTTATTAAAGAAGGAAGAGTAGTTAAGACAAAATTTGCAGGGAAAATACTCATGTCAAATATATTAAGTACCTTCCTTGCCTGAAAAGTGTAGAAAAAATTAAAATGGTATACATTAGCACAGCAAATGGAAATGCCAAAGCTGATTTTTTTTTGCTCAGGCCATGATAATGGACTATGAACATTATTAATTATAACATTTTCCATCCAATGCCACACAGCTGTTGGATGTCGTCTCTCCCTGTTGAATGACAAGGCTGCAATGATGCAACTGTCTCAGGAAGGTGTTGGGAGGTTTGACAATCTATGTTTGTCAGGAGATCTGCACGTTTCTGTTAGAGGTGTTGGAGCTCTGTCAGATCCTGCCACACCACGGCTCAGGGTTCTGTTATCCACATGCAGGATACTCCATGTAGCTCGTGTCCAGAGAGCTTGAGAGGGTGGGAATACTGCCCACATAGCCCAGGGCTGAACTGAGAGCCTGTGCTGCAGGTCGGGTAGACAGATGGCACTGTATGTGCATACAAACCCTGTGTGCATGAAGGAGAAATGGCAGAGACATTTGAAATCTCTCCAAAGACGCTGCCGTGCTGGCCAGGCTGTCTTTTCAGGCTGCCCCACGCAGAGTCACGATTATCCCCTTCTGCCTGGTCAAACTCCCCCGGTGAGCAGAGCACGCTGAAGGAAGCAGATGTATGGCAGCCAGAAGCCCAGAATTCCTGTTTATCCCTCTGGACGATGCCACAAGGCGGCACTGTTCAGACCCGGCCCTGCCAAACGCAATCAGGATGAAGAATTAGATTAGCGCCGGAGAAATGTCGCCTCTGTCGTTTGAAGTGGATCCTGGTCAGAAGCAAAGTTGAGTATCAAAGCACAAGCTGGAGAAATCCTGCCTTATTAAAAATTGACTTTAAGCCAATTGTCCTCTTCCTTTCTGTCTGTCTGTCTGTCTATCCCTCTCCCTTGCAAACGAGCTTACAACTCTCCCTCAAGGCAAGAGCATCAGTAGTCAAGCTCTGGTAGCTTTGAAGAAATCTTTATGTGATTAGAAACGCCACACAGAGTTCCAGCCTCCTCCTGGCTCTGCATGCCAATCGGATGGGAGTATATAGGCCATGGTAAACGTATTCCATGCGCAGCTCCATCTCCCTAAATCGGTGTTTAACGAGGAACCATACTCTTGCTGTGTTACTGTGGCTCTAAGGAACCACGGCTCGGGGAGATGGCTCGGAAGGGTCTGGCTGCTCCCGGCTCGGCAGGGAGGTGTCTGTGCCCCTCAAGGTGCCACGGCAGGGCTGAGGGCAGCTCATCGCGGGGCACCATGGCGGGGCCGAGGACCGCTCCCCTCAGGGCGCCCACGGCGGAACTGAGGACTGCTCTCCTAAAGGCGCCATAGTAGGTCTGAGGACTGCTCCCCTCAGGGCGTCACGGCGGGGCTGAGGACCGCTCCCCTCAGGACAGCCTTGGCGTGGCTCAGGGCAGCCTTGGCGTTCGCGCTCCACCGCTGCCCACCGGCCAGACCAGGCAGCCTCGGCGGGCGGGAGCCGAACAGCGCTGCCGGAAAACCGCCAGTGCTCTCGCCGCCATCCCAGGCGACGCCCACACCGGTATCCTACCCCACCCCACCCAGCCATGCCGCCCCTGCCCCGCCTCCCCCTCAGGGCGGCCGGGCCCGCCCCTTCCCCTCCGCGGGTCCGCCGCCGCCCCACAATGCCCTGCGCTCCGGCCCTCGCAAGATGGCGGTGCTGGGGGCGCCGCGGGGCCTGGTGGCCGCCGCCTCCCGCAAGCGGCGGCTGCTGCTCGCCCTGGCCCTGCTGCGGCCGCCCGCAGCCGCCGCCGCCACCTGCGCCGCCGGGGCGATAGCGGGGACCGGGCGGCGGGCCTGCAGCGCGCCGGCGGGCGGACAGGTGCGTGGGGGCGCCGGGGAGGGCGGGCGGGGAGGTCGCTGAGGGAGGGTCAGGGGCGGTCCCTGAGGGGCCGCCGGTCCCCGCTCCGCTGCCCCCCGGCCCTGCGAGCACGGCACGGCCCGGTCCGTCCTGACCTGCCCGGAGTCGGCGCCCCCCGCCCGGGTGGGCCCTGCGGGGGCTCTGTGGGGATCAGCATTAGAAACCGCAGTGTCTGTGGATGGACGCGGGATGTGCACAGGGAACCCTTGTGCTGATGCTGCCGCTCTGTAGGGACGGGGAGTTGGAGTTGGAACGCTCTCTGTCAGCTGGGCGGGCTGTAACATGTCCCAGGGAATGATTTTTTTGTTAGAAGTAAAGAATCGAGCACACATGTCAAAGCTGTGTAAGTCATAGGCGTTTCTCAAAGCAAATGAGGAAGTGTATCCCAAAGATAGAGGGAACGAATTTATCCCAAAGACTTCGCATAAACTCTCAGATAGCTTCGATTTCGGTTTCATAATAACCTTTTCTCTTTTGTATTCCTCAGATTAGCACTGTTTATGAGTAGCTTTTCTTTGTTGCCTCGATTAGCTTTCCCTGACAGGCAGAATTCTGCCGAGGACTACAGTCAACTTCGTGTTGCTTGGTAGCCGAGATGGGCAGGGCTGAAGTGGTAAATTTGAGGGGTGTTTAATTTTGAAACTCGAGCAAGACAAGAAGGTGAGAGTTAACGTTGATGCAGATCAAATATTTTACCCGTGTATTTGCATACATTTAAATATACCTGAGTACTCGGTATTGTCCCTGTTCCTGGAAACCCATTTCAGCTGTGAGTGAACAAATAGCAGCGTTATCATGGTGATGAATAGAAGCATTAATTATGTTACTGGTTTCCTTTTGAATGTTTTTATTTTCATGTTGGGAATGCCGGTCCTTGCTGATGAGTTTTAATTGCCACATGTCACTAAATGTGGATTTGCACTAGATTTTCTGGTCTGGAAAACCAAGGCTATGTCTGTGGAATATAGATATATGCTCATCTCTCTGGCCTTTTAGTCTCTAGGCATTTTTTTGTTAGAAAGTGGTCAATTAATGCATTTTTTGTGGTCTGGTGATGAATTTTCAGTTCTGCATCAAGCTCTATTTGACTGAAAATTACAATTTATAAAGTTCAGGAGCAAGGCCTTACATTTTGCTAAATAAAAATTGCCACTTCCATTTTATGGAAGTGCAAGTTTGTTTGACTCTTATCTAGCAGGAGGCTGAAACCTAAGGGTTCTGCATTTTTGGGTAGAATGACCTTCAAAATTTTGGGACATGATTTTTTAAACATTTCATTAAATTTGCTGTTTTTTCAGCTAGTTCAGGAAATACTGTGCCTGCCCAAAGAGAGGGCACCCTGAGAAGTTGGCCAGGCACTTCAGCAGTTGTATTTCAGAGTGATTAGCCATTGATTTTTATAAATGAGGTAATTCAGCAGTTTAAAAAAAAAAAAAAACCTTCTGGAAGCAAACATGTGCATCCTGGTTTAGTTTCAGTTGTTTGATTATTTTTCTATGCTCACCCATTAGCAGGGACTGTCCATATTTTCAACGGACCTGTTCTGAAAGCTCTTCTATAAATTAAAAAAAATGCATTTAAAGCAACTTAATCTTGCTTGCCGTGGTCCCAAGCTGTGTGTTTCGCAGTCAGTGGGTGATGAAAGCAGTATTTTATAGGGTGTTGTGGTGACACCTCTTAGTGTGTGTATTTGAGTGTGGGGAAAGCTCTTCTCCTCTGTTACCTTCCTGGCTGTGTTGTAGGTGCCAGATATGGCTTTGCATCCATGTGGTATTTGATCCCCTGTCTTCAGAGTTTCATGCTAATTGTAGCCTTTTTTAAGCTTATAATTAATTGGAAGCTTAATTGTATTTTCTTAGTGTCGTGAGAGTCAAATACAGCAGAGTTGTTTGGGTGCAGTTGCCTCCCAGATCCACATCTTCCCTCTCACCTAAGTTTTTCAGTACTTTTGGTTGCAGTCTTGTAACATTTGTATCCTGAAGAGTAAAACAGCTACATTTACAGAGGGCAAAGACAGGTGCCATAAATATTGTTACCTGTGATCAGACTTCATTTCTTTATATTGAGATCAGTTTGTATTTCCATGACCACGGCTCCTTTGGTTCCCCCTCCTGCAGTTGGAGTAGACAGGGATTCATCCTGTCAAAACTTGTGAGTTGAATTTGGGGTCTCTGCTGAGTAAGGAATTGGCACGTTGGTTTGATAAACTATGATAAGTAACCAAACAATTGCTGTTGTATTTTTTTTTTCCTAGGAAGCTTGTGGGTTTTTATTTGTTTGGGTTTTTTTCCAGAACAGTTTGCCTGTATCCAAAATGAAAACAGTGGCCGATTCTGTTCAATTTAAATATGGCAATTAAATGAAAAATTAGTTAGATGAGTTTAAATGAGCTAAATGGAAAGAAAATAACGTTTGGCTGGAAAGGTCCAACACCCTTTAACTAAGGATAATTATTTTGCTAGGAATCTGTCTAAGTGAAGAAACATACTGAGGAGTTTCAGGGAGAACTTTGGCAGTGGCAGAAAGCAGGGCTGTGTAAACTATTGGAACAGTAAAAAGTAAAAGGAACTATTTTTCTTCTTTGCATTATCTTGCCCTTCCAGCTGCCAGTGATAAAGAGCATGTTCTTCTGCATAACTTAAAATTATCCCTTGCTCTGGAAGGGGTTCTAAGAGAAGTTTCAGGTATTTCTGGTAATTTTATTTATATTTTGCCCAGTTTTATTTATTTATTTATTTATTTTTACCTGAAGCCTGGTCTGCTCTGTAAAATTCTACTGCTGTTTATTGTCCAGACATTTCATGTGTTGATGTGTGTTGCTGAGTTCTCTTCTCTAGACTTTGAAGGTGCAGTTGACCAGCACAATGCCTGGCAACTATAAACCATGTGTCTCTTCAGCAGCCTGCACTGACAGATACCTGTATTTGAAGTTCCTTGAATTTTAAGATCCCTTTATAAGGAGTTATTGCTGCTGAGCCATTGTTAAATGGAGCTCCAGTTAAGTTTATACAGTTCATATTGGTGACAGTTTAGTCTAGCTTTACACCAGAATATTTTCACCTTTTCTCTCATTTTCCTCCACTCATAATTTCTTTTCTTGCCTTGCAAACTCAGCAGAATTAACTGTTGGACTTGAACCCTGCACGGGGACTCGAATCCCACTTTCAGTTATGTCTGCTGTTACAGTTAATTTAAAAAAACCAATCCCCATCAGATGAGTGCAGCATGCCTGGAACAGTACATATCGTATTCCAGAGGGAACCTTTTAAATGTGGATTTGACCTTGTGCAAATGTGTTTTATCCCTGTTGCTTGTTTGCATCTGTAGTATTTAAAGCTACTCCTCACAGTTGTGACACTTTAGCAACATGACTTTTTTGTGCAGTCAGTGCTAGACATCTGTTTCATTCTTTAGAGTTTATAGAATCATCTCCAAAAATGCATTAAAAGGGCATGATGGTGCTGAGTCAGGCATTAAAAGTTGGGAAATGCCAGGATTCAAGCTCCCTGCATAATGTCAGAAAGGCAGAAATAAGCAGGACTCTCTCCTGCTCCTCTAAAGAAATAACCTGCTTTGATCTGTTATGATAAGATTCAAGTATGGCTTTTCTTTGTAGTCCTAAATCTCTTGGGGAAAAAAAACACAGTGAGGAGAGTGGAGTCATCTTCCTGCAGCAGGTGTGGAGAGTGGCAGGGAGAGCTCCACCCCGCTCCTCTGGGCAGTTTTGCTGTCAATACTCTGATGGTCAGAGGGATTATCGGTGAAGTCAGTTGTTCACCTTGTTTAATTCTTTATTTCTCCCCTCAGATTTGATTTTTAGGAGGAGATGGGAGAGGCTCAATTTTGCAAATAACCCAATGGCAGTTCCTAGTTTCAGTCAGGGAATGGGGCTGTTTTTCTAAAGCAGGATTTGAGAGCAGATCTGCTGGTGTTTCATTACAAACTGTTTCTGTGATGTTGTTTGCCTCATATTTCAGTCAGAAGGGAACCTTGATATCCTTTGAGGTCAAAGGATGTGAATTATTAGTAATGTGATGTCCTATGAGTAAACTCCAGAAGGACAGTAATTAGCTTCTTTCCACTGACTGTTGGAGCATTATAATTTTTCTGATATTTTCTGTTTATGGCACTGTTCCTGTGGAGGGTGCCTTGGTTTAGATGGAATCCTCTGTGCTGATACAGAGCTGTGAAGTTGTGAGTGTGTCTACAATGAAGTGCTTTAGAGATGCTGCTCCTCCATTTTACCCTGGTCTTGGGAGCATCAGGACAGTTCAGCCAGCCCAGTTAGCTCTGCTAAGGGCAAAATGTGTGATTGGGATGTTCCCTTTTCCTCTGTGTATAACACCACACAATGGAATTGTTTGGAGTAAGCAGGTCACAAGTGGTGACTTGTGCAGGAATGGTTTTAATCTTCTTTAAAATTATAACTTAGGATGTGTGTCATAGGATAAGAGCAAAGGATTGTTTAAGGCAAGAGATCAGATAGATGCCAGTGCTGCTGTTTGTCAAGGTTAAAAATACTTTCTTATGATCAAGTCCTTTTTTCCCCTCTTTGCCATTTGTCCTTTGCCGTGGGCTGGGGAGCACCATGTGTCTGCTTTGCTCTGTGGTGGTGATTGTTACACAGGGGATGGTTAATACTGTAACAGAGCAGTCAAAGATTTACTGCTGACTGTGTCAAAGATGATGTGGCACCATCAGTGCCGACCCTGTGTCTTTGCCACCAGGGAAGCAATGCCACTTAGTCCATCCGAGGAGAATAAATGGTCCTTTGGAACATGGATTGCCTTGCAAGGTAACATGGAGAGCACGGCACAGTTGGTGCCAGCAGTTTCTTAAGGTTGATGGATCTGTCAATATTGGGTATCTTGTGCCCTAATAACCTAAAACTTGTTGCCAGCCCTGCTCCAATTTCTGGCAGTCCCAGTGCTTCCCAGTCCAGAGCTGTAGCTTTGATTTGCTTTCTGGAGACAAGCTGAGCCAAGAGGAATTGGGAATGGCAGAACCTATAAGCATAAAAATAACATTTCATGATGAAAAATGGAACAAAAGACTGCTTGGAAGAAGTCAAAAGACAACCTGGGAGAAGATGAAAATGAGACGAAAGGGAAAACTTTGGGCTTTCATGATACAAAAGAAACAGAGTCTGATGGGAGTGTGGATTCAGGGAAGGGAATGATTCATTGTGACTGAGCATTTTAATGGCTGGATGGAGTTTATTTTACAGCTGCTCCCCCCCCCCGTTTGCTTTTTCCGTGGTCAGTTGTTAAAAAACAAAGCCATCTGCCTTCTTCTCATGTTATGCTCGTTTACATGAACCAGATGAGTATTCTGTGCCTGTGAAATGCATGTTCTGCAGGACTCCATTTTCACTCCTTTTTCTCCGTTTTTGTTCTGTAGATCCCACCCATTTGCAGGCAAAGATCATGGCAGGGCCTGGCAGGGGATTACTCGAGGCCGTTTCTGGAGCCTTCAGAGGTGGGTACAGTTGGTTCTTTCAGTTTAATCTGCTGGTTTTATGGTTTTTCTTTTTCATAATTTCATTGTTTATGGCTCTGAAGTGCAGCAGGTTAAATGGCAAGTTGTGTTTCTGCCCCTAGAAGTCTTTCTGAATCTTTAGAAACCAATGATATTAAAGTAACTTGCAAAGAAGAGTCCTTAAAAATGCAGGTCTCGTGTGTTGATACTTGAATTCACGTTGTCAAGCATGGGAAATACCCAGGTAAGGGATACCCAGGCACAGGAGATTGATTTTTTTCTTGAGTGTGCAGGACCTTATTACTTTAAATTCTGCTTAGGTTGTAGAATATTCTCATTACTGAATGCCAGGATATCAGGCTCTTACTCCTGGGAGGTCTGCTTGCCTTAAAACTACTGTAAACATAAGGAAGGTGCAATTTTTGCAGTTCATGGAATAATTATGACACATAGTGAAGCTAAGAAATGTATTTATCTTGCTTTTCTTTTTGGTTTTTAATTATAAAATAATAACCACTCACTGGTTATCACAGAACTGACTTAAGCAGCTAAAATCTTTTGAGGGTCATTGGGCCTTCAAAGCATAAAATCTCCTTCAAGGTTTTTTTCTGTGTTCTTCAGTCCATTTTCAATTTTTAGGTGTCCTTTTAACTGAAGTATGTAAGGGTCTGTTGTCTTCACCTCCTGCCTGCTTGGAATGTGCTCTTTGCTGCCAGAGTCCCTTTCTTATTATTGTTTCCTTAAGCAAGGCAAGGATTTTAGAGAGAGGAAAAAATCTTTGACTAAAGCAAGCTGATACAGTTGGAGGATGGGGGAGGGAAAAGGGGCCAGTAGTTGCTCTTTCTGTTGGCTTTTATGTGCCTGTTTCCTGAGGTTCTTGCAAATTGACTCTTCATTTTTCACCCAGATCCTGCCCAGGTGGCGACTGCTGGAGAAGAGGATGTGTTGGCATGGCCATGCAGGTGGAGGGCTTCACACAGATCCAAAGGAAGGGGTAAAACATGGCTTTGTTACTATTGCTTTTTAAATTAACAATGTTATCAGCAACAATTTGTGCAAAACTGTATTGGTAGATATGTGAGTGCTGTAGTGGAGTAGGTTCAGTTTAATTGTCAATGTAGACTTGCTAACTCTTAAATCACCAAATGTTTGTAATAACTGTGTTCAAGGGCTTCATTTGTTTTATTAAAAATACAATTTAATGTTACGCCCCCCCTTTGCAATTGGCCTGGGTTATGTAAAATTCTTTTGATGGAAACTATGTTCCAATATTTTATTTATGGTTTGCTCATTCTGTTTGTGATTTGACATTCAGAATAGTAGAAATCAGCTTGTGGGTGCAAGTCAGTGCACCAGTTGGTAAAATCACACTTGCAGTAGGAGGGGAGAGAAGTAATTGAACTGTGTCTATTTTTACTTGGATTTAACAATAATGCATCTGTTATATTTTGACCGTATTTCTATTCAGGAGGCACACATTAAAGTAATGATGGTGGTATGTAAGGAGAAGAAGTATCTTTTATTAGCCCAAATGATTCCAGTTAGAGGCAGCTTTGAGTTAGAGCAACATGGGATCAACCTGTGTGATTAAAATTGCCAGAGCAAAGCTCTTGTGTTTACCTAAGTTTGATCTTCTCATTTCCTGGGCAAACTTATCTCTGGTGCTTTGTGTGTTTGCAGAATGGTTCTGTGTGATGGGTATAACTTGTTCAAACTCAGGTGGGATCTTCCTAAAATCAGTGAGGACTACTTTGATGACAAACTGAGTCCTCAGTGCAGGGTCTTTCAGGGCTCCTTTGCTGATGTTTAAGTGCTCTGAGGATGCCTTTCCTACAGCCTCATTTGTAAAGTAACTGAAAAGTTGTACCTAAATTTTCCTCTTCAATTTTCAGCTCAGAGTTGTCCCTTGGTTGAATTCCAACCTGTTTGTGTCACAGGCAGAAGTCAGGAGAGGTGTGTGTTTTATAGTAAGAGGGAATTTCATAACCTGAAGTGCAGCCAGCTTGTTTTGGCAAACATCTGTGATCCTTTCTGCACGAGGCACAGGGGGAAATGGAATAATTGGCCATCTCCAGTCAGTGGCACCACTGGCTCTGCATGTAACATTAACTTTAGACTCCTTTTGAGACCCTCCCTGCCACAGGTATGGGCTCTTTTCACAGATGTCCTAGGAAAAAGAGACTTCAAAGCTAGCAGGTTATCCTTCTCTCTTTCACATTTACATTTCAGGGTTCTCTCTGCTCAGAAAGGAAATGGAAAGTTCAAAACACTGGTAGCTTTAAGGAATGCTGGATGTTCCTTCACTTTAAAACTCAGTAGGAATAGGTTATCCAGAAATTTTGATGCCAGATGATTTTTTTTTTTTTTGTTTACTGGGCAATGTAAATATTCCAGTGGCATTTTCTCTTCACTCATTACTTGCAGCTTTTCCTGTCTAAAGCAATTCCCTGAGGTTTTTATTCCAGTAAAGCATGGTTAATCCAGGACATTGCCACTTAAGGCAGTTGTCCAGCTAAACAAACATCAGCTGCTAGGATTGTCCAGGAGAAAGCAGCAAGAGTTGTAGAAGTTGTAAAATGTGTGAAGAGTGGAAGAAAAAACAAAGTAACATTGTGTGCAAATGCCAGGAGCTTCTCAGCAAATATGAAGGGAAGGAAATCCGATATTCCAAGTGCAGTTCTTGTATTTCGTGTATACGTGTACTTGTATTCAGTGCACAAAAATACTGGTGCCCAATTTACCCGTTTTCCCCCTAGGACTGTGCTTTTAGGAGAACTGCAGGTGATACCCATGCCAGCTGTATTACAGCTTTCTGTATTCCAGATGTTTTTTTTTTTACCAAACCAGCCTGTTCTTTTGGAATCTGACTTTGGGAGTGATGTTTTAAATTGCCCCTTTTGTAGCAGCTTCAGGGGTACAGAACTGAATACTGAGGGTAAACACAGAGTGAAAAACCTTGGAGAGTGGGAAGAGGAATGATAACCTTCTTTTTTTCCCCCCGTCTTTAGGTGTTTCAAAAGGTCCAGAACCTGCATGGGGTGGGTAGAGGGGACAGCAAGATGTTCAATGCTCTTTCTTTTGCAAATAGTTTTCAGTATTTGGGAGTGTTTTGAAAACATGCTGCATTCAAAGAGAGGAGCAGACTTTTCTTCTCTGCTCCCTGCTGGATTAGGTTTATAATACCTTTCCTTCCACTCCTTCCGTCTGTAGAGAGAGCCCTTGAAAGGAAATGTAAAACATTACTGCCATTTAAAAGGAGGTAAAATAAATGCATCTCTTAACCTTTTTATATACCTCAGAGAATCAAAAAAGGGCCTGAGTCCATTGAACAGATTGCTCATTTTAATTCTTAATGTTGCCACTTGCATATTTAAACAGTTTTTAACTCATGTTTCTGTACAACAGTAACGTTTATTTCATGGTAAACTTTGATGTAATATGTGTGCATTTTGCATCCTTTGATATTTCTTCTTGTTCCTTTGCACGGCCTTTGGCAAATGACTGGCTGCCTTCTGACTCTTTTTTTGAACGGATTTACTTCTGTCACCATTCAGAGCCATGAAAAAAGGAAATAGATTCCTTGTTTGCAGCCAGTGTATTTTGTTCCTTTTAACAGCTTTTCTGTGCAAAGTCTGCCTAGCCAATAGCAACATATAATTAGAACTGCTCTGATTGCAGCAGTATCTTTTGTGTTAATGTAATATCAATTTATTTTTTAACTTCCTTTTAACCTGTAAGTGGTGATGAAAGATATTTTCCAAATGTTTGAACTGCTTTTTATGCACATCCTTGACTCCCATGGAAAGATCCATATTTATGCTGCAGCAGATACCTCCATCTCCTGAGTGGGTCAGACACTTTCCCATCCTCTCCCCACTTACAAATCCTCCATATATCCATTTTCTACCAGTCATTTGAGATGTGCTTATCCTGTGTAATGCTCCAGTACATTTGCAGTTGTTGACAAAATATGCCACCTTTGGTCTTCTTTGAAGCTGTGACTGAGATGAATTTCCTGGTGCTTTTAAAAGCTTGTATTTATAGGATTGGCTTCCCTGGTTGCCTCAGCGATTTTGCCTTTTAACAGACCTCTCCTTTCTTGCTTATTCACCCTGGACCTTAACAGAGTATTTCTATTCTAATTTGGTTTATCCTCAAGCTTTAAGATACATTCTAAGACTCCCCCTTTGTACTGACTTCCATCATGCCAGAGTCATCTTTAAAAGGTGTTGCACTAATTTTGGTTTCCCATCTGTTCCCCCAACTTTAAAATATTGCCTGAAATGGAGAGATTAGCAGCCCTTGCTGCCCTCCCTTCAGTTTTAGATAACCCTTGTTTCTTTTCAAGTTAACCCTGGTGCAGCCAACCCAGAAAAGCAAGTTGTTGATATCTGTGCTTTGTTACTGCACGTTCTCTTATTCTTGATTAGGAAATGTGGTTTAGGCTGCAGAGAACTGAGCTCATGAGTTTAGTGAAATATATCTCAATATATGTCAGCGATACCAACGTCTGTCCATCTGGAAAATAACCCACGTTTCTGTAAAAAAAATACAACAACAGCAAAAAATACAACCACCACTGCACAACTTCAACCCGAACAAAAAAAAGGGATATTTTTCAAGATGGCTTGTTAACTGGATTGTGGTCTTTAGAGCCAAGTTTGAGGTTTGGAGGAGAACTGAAGAGTTCAGTTAAAATTGATGTAATCAGTGAAGCCAACGTGTGGCCGTGGACATCACCTGCCTCCAGAATCCTGATTACCCAACGTCAGAGAATGTTCTCCACACTACTTAGGTTTGTTATAGACCTTTCAGACCTCCTTCTTGCCTTAGGTTTTTCTCTTGCTTCATTGATTTTTTTGTTTTGTTTTGTTTTTGTTTTTCGTGTTTTTTTTGCATTTCCCTCATGTTGTTTCTAAGCTATTTTAAAACTTCTTTCAAGAAGAAGAACCAACAGGGCCTTGCCTTTCGTACAGAAATCTTGAGAAGATAAAGAAGGGTCGGTTTGTTTGCTCTGTGAGGTATTTCAGGGTGGTGGTGAATTGTGGCTCTCTCTATATTCCAGTTCCAGCCAGCTAAACTTGCACTCTGGAGAACAAGTGAATTAAGAACAACTCACGAGCTTTAGCAGCACGTGATGGATATAGACACACAAACAGCTTGGGATTTTAACGGGCAGTCCTGCTCCCAAACATTCTGAAGTGCCTGTTGCCTATCAAACAAAACACAGAAGAGATGTCAATACATAAAATTCCTTCTCCTTTGTGCAGTTGTTGTGCTCCCTGAGGGGGGTGTGTTTGCCAAGTGCCTTTGCTGTCCCCCACAGCTGCGGGAGATCGACGCCGGGAAGATCGTGCGGGCGATGCTGTCGTACGTGTGGCCGCGGGACAGGCCGGACCTGCGCGCCAGGGTGGCGCTGTCGCTGGGCTTCCTGGCCAGTGCCAAGGTGAGAACATGCACCCTCTGTCGCACTCACTGCTCATCTGCACAGGGGCTGATTGGCTGTCTTGTTGTTTAAGGCATTTATACTCTTAAGGTGTCCCTTTCCTGTGCAAGGCGTGTATAGTAATAAAAATAACAGCTTGGATTTCTGAACAGGCTGTGTCTGCAGGGGATGTGTGTTTAGGGAGAGGATGGTGACAGCCAGAAGTTTTATTTCCATTACTTTATTTTCATTGCATTAGGTTAGCCCAGGATTTTCCATTGCTGATTAGCTTGGATCTCAGGACAAGATTCTTCCCCCAGAGGGTGGTTGGCACTGAACAGGCTCCCCAGGGCAGTGGGCACAGCCCCAAGGCTGCCAGAGCTGCAGGAGGGTTTGGATGATCCTCTGGGGCACAGGGGGTGACTCTTGGGGCTGGGCCTGTGCAGGGCTGAGGGTTGGACTGGATGGTCCTTGTGGGTCCTTTCCAGCTGAGCACATTCTGGCATTCTGTGAATCATTTACCTCAGAGATTACGGGAAGCTGAGTTAAAGGTTGCCTTCAGACCTCCTTGTGTGATGCTGGATATGTCAAACAGGATTCCTTCAAGGCTTTGTGTCCATTCTCAGCCCTGAACCTGAGCAATGTGGTGGTACCTACTCACAGCTCTTGCTTTTCCTGTGGAAAAGGAGATTTGAACTCCAGTCCTTTGATATCTCTCTATGAGATGACCATGCAATTTTACTGGTTTTAATGTGAAAGAAGCTGTGTAACTAATGTTGTGTATATAAGAACCTTGCTTTCATTCATGTGATTTTTCTTGTAGCCTTGATTGTGAAATGGAGGGTTGCTGTTACCTGTACTCTTGCCTGCAACAAAATCAGTGTTCATTTGTTCTTACAAAGAATTTAGCATGCAAAAGCTTCCTGCACAATAATGGAGGATATATTTCAAATTTGGTGCAAACCCTTTAAAGTAGTTCAGAAGTGCAAATGTTAACTTTGTGCCAAAAAAATTCTTGCTGCAAAAAAAACACAAACTAACAAACCCAAACCCAGGAAATATTTAATTGCAAAATATTGGGAGAAAATTGTGTGAGTTCCACTGAGGCGTCCAGGCTCTAATGGGTTGCTTCTGAGGATGGCAATTTTTACCCAACAGAGAGCTAATCTTAGTGGCTTGCTGAGCCAAAGCAAGTACTGCTTGGCAATGAGTTGTAGCCCTTAGCTCGTGGCACTGGCAACTCAGGAGCACTCAGCACCATTGCCACGTTGTGAAAAGAGAGAAGAAACAAATTTCAGCTGTTGTGGGTGTTAAAAGAGGAGTTCTTGAGAGAGAAATGTGCTCCTCTGTTTGAGCTGCAGAGGAAAGTGCAGCCTTGTGTTGTGCAGCCCTTTCTCAAGAGCTGGTTATCTCTCAGGTACTCGTGGGCACTGTCCACAGCAGATATTTTGGGCTGTGCTGCTGTTCAGGACATTGCTGATAATGCAGGTGATGACATGTAGAACATGGCAGGTCTGTGCAAGTGAACTTCCCCCCTTTTGGTGTCCTGTGCAAAATGCACAGCAGTGTTTTCCATCAGTTAAAAACCCTTGGGGAAACTCTGCTCCAAATGCAGGTGCCTTGTGGTTTTGTAATGTAGATTTACCAGGTGGATATGAAAATTCTTCTAGCTCTTTTTTAAAACCTCTTTTTAGTAATGTTAATAATAATAAACTGAAGGCAATTTCTAAAGGTTTGAAGTCGTTTTTCCTTCTCCCCCCTTCCCTAATTTATAGTGTTCTATGAATATGATGGAGAATGCGAATCCAGCATCTAACCCTGCATGTGGCAGCTCTGTACCTTGCCTTTAACAAGTCTATTAATGTTTCAAGCAGCTTTCTGGGGTGTTATGAAAACAAAATTGATGACCAGGATGCCTGCAAATAGCTCGGTATTTGGTGTAAAACAGAGTTATGTATTTCTGCTGGGAGAGAGAGGTGTTCCCCCCATCAAAAAATCAAGCACCTAATTACCCTTTGGGGAAGTAACTGGATGTTTGGATCTCTTAAATATTCTCTTAAATTTCCCACTTCAGATTTGTACAAGGCAGCCTGGAAGCTCTGATGTCCAGAGCAGATTCCCAGAAGCCAAGCAGAACACCTGTTGAGCTTTGCCCAGGTTTTAGGAGATGCTTGTTAAATCCGAAGTGTTTTGTGAGAATGTTTTGGCAAATAAGAATTTCACTGGGAAAACACATAGCAAGCTCTCTGTGGAAAATATAGATCATAACTGGCTGGAGTGAAAAATTTCATGGATATCTTCCATCTGTCCTTTGCTCCTGATCTTTGTTTTGTTCTGTCATTACAAAGCTGTGCTGAATACCTGCAATTTAAGCAGTTACCCCTCATCTCGTGAGTTACCACTCACTCTTACTCGGTGGAAGGAACTTCTCTTAAATTGCTACAGACTTTACATGTGCTGTGGTAAGTCTGGCCTGCCTTTGAGCCCTGAACATCTGCTGCTCTTCCAGAGCAAACAAAAGGTCAAGGTGTCCTCAGGAAAACCAAGTACAGGGTAGTTTACCTGGAGCTTTCCTGAACCGTGTGTAATTCTGTCAACTTTCCTCATTGTGCCATTTGGGAGCCCTTTGTTCTGATTGCTTGTGAGGTTAATTACAATGCACAGACCACACAAGCAGTTGGTAAAGTTTCTCTGAGGTTTAATTGTGTCACCACAAGAACACCAGCACATTCTCCTCCTCACTGCATTTCTTTGTTCACTGTGGAACCAGGAGAATCCTGGATGTGAAGGATTTGTTTAAAGGCTGCTGCTCCTGAGGGGCTTCAGAGACAACTCTGTGATTGTGATGGCTCTGCCAGTCACCTGCCCCAGGAAGAAATACTTCTGCAAGCCTTTGGGCCAATTTCTTCTGAGTTTGGCAGGAGGCTTTGGGGAGGTTTTATACCTCTGTATTGATGAAATTAGGTTTCCAGTTAAAAGACAGAAGCTGTAGGGTGGCCTGAGTTTTATTCTGAGAAAACTCCAGAGGAATAACAGAGGACAGGTAGGTTATAAAATTCTCAGCCCCAGGAAAAATATTAGGAGTTCACACCCCGTTTGATTTGGTTACTTCCCCACAAAACAGCTGGAGATCATTCCTCCTTTTCCTGCTGCTTGCGAAATAATTTGTCTTTTTAAATCTTCCAGTTCAGTAAAATTCACTTTCCAAACAAAAGCCAGTTTGTGTGCAGCTCCTACTGAAGAGCCTGCAGTTACAATCTGTCTGGACTCCCTTTGTGGGGCCCAGTTGCCTGTCACTGAGCAAATGATTGTGATTTTTTGGTTCCTTTTTGTCTCCACGTAACCGCTGGTGGGATTGCGAGCCTTCAAAGCCAGCTTTTAGTCTGGCTTTTTATGACAGGATGGAGTCTGCTCCGGGGCTAGTGAGGTCCTTTCTTCCTTGGAAGATTTGTTGTATTATTATGACACGCTTTAAATTTTTACCTTAAATATTTATAGCCTGTGCAGACGTGTGTGTGTGTGTGATCTGCAAGCTGCCAGAGGAAGGCAGGTGAGAGGAGTACACAAGGCAGTCTCTGTGTTGTCAGACACCAGAATTAGCCTGCTCAAGTTTGCTAGATCTCATTTTTCTCTCTCCCATGTTTTGTCTTCTCGACTGAGGTGTGTATAACAAATGCTTCTTTACTTTTCTCTTTCATCCCTTCTTCGTCTGTGGCTGCTGAGGAGCTGGGTTCAACACTTGAGTGTGACAAAAATCACCTGTCACCTCTGGCAGCCTGCAGTGGTCTTTTGGCCTGGTGGTCACAGACCAGGCTTGTGTTATTCATGAGCCAGAGGAGTCTTCCAGACTATCTGCATTTCTCCTGACTGCTAATTCAGGAGCAGGGATGGCTTGGCTGAGGAGGCAGGACACAAGGGTGGAATTGCAAATTTCCACTGCGTGCAAAGATAACAAAATCTATCTGATCAGTGAAGCTTGTGCTGTGATCTGGGTGTCTGAGCCCTTTCTGGAGTTAGATAATTGGAATAAACCTTTAGCTTTCCGAGAAATTTCAGGTGTGAAGTATTTAAAATTGCTGGTTTTTTTTTCTTACTGGGAAAAGTCTAGTTCAGATCATTTAAATTTGAAGAAGCCCTGAAGTCAGGTGCTTCTTCCCTCGTCTGCACCACATTTTGTAGCTGCTTTAGCAGCCTCTGCCCCACAAGGGTTGTGGAGATTTCTGTTTGTGCCTCCCCAGATGGAGCTGCTGGATGTGTACCTTCATATTGGTGCAGAGATAAATTCAGTCATCTTCATGTCAACGTTTCTCATTGAATTATTGGCAGAAGAAGAGTTCACTGTGTACCAGTTTGATCTTGTTGGGGCTCAGCCTGTCACTAATTCATCATCTTTATTAAACAAGAAACACTGGGAAGAGCAAAATGAAAGATAAGGCTGTTTGCCTTAAAAGTGGTGTAGTCCCATGGGGGACTAGAGATGATGTTGCACTGTCAACTTAAAACAGTGCAGTCATTAAAGACAATGTTTGAACCCATTTAAGGATGATTCATTACAGTGCAACCTGCTGTTAAATGTGGGCAGTTGAGCTGGGCTGACTTCATGGGTGCTGTATTTGCTTTCCAGTAAATTCAGGCAAGGATAAGCTATTAATTCAAACCCCGAGATAGAAAATGTACAAATTCATATTAAAAGAGTCTCTGTAATGGGAATTGTTATCAAGCTTTCAGGCACTAGGCGGAGGAGGGATGCCTGTATAGATACATTGTGTAAGACAATTGTTTTTCATGGTAGATTTTCACAGTCTACCAAGGTGTGCTTAAAGCTTTTTGTTCTGTGCCAGCAAATCCAAAGAGAGAAATGTGAATTTATGCAGAAGGCTGAAATTTTGTTTCCATTACCGTGAACGTGATCTCATTGACTTAACAAATGGAGTAGGAAAGGCCTGTTTCTAATAATGGCCTCTCATCTCCTGCTATAAACTTTGTAAGATTAACTTTTTTTCTTTTTTAAATGACTGGAAAGCAGACTGTCTTGATTGCTAATGAAATGCAATACCGTGCTGCCTTGTTCTTATTCAAGCTTTACCCTCCAGGAGTCAGAACAACTATAACCTGAGACCAGGCTTTAAATTTCATTTAAAACTCTATTGGGAAGAATTATATCCATGTAAAAGAAGACATTTCTGCAAAATTGTGGGCTGTTACCGGTGAAATTAATTGTGAGTGGAGAACAGCAGTTTAAAGAATACATCTCTTCTCTTTAAATGGACTTTAAAATATACCTGTAGTTTGTATTTCAAAACCACCTGTAGCTTAGTGTAGTCTGGTGAAGAATAAAATCCCTGCAGAGAGATTTGTGAGAATCTGCAGCAAATCAAGACAGTCTGCATTACAATATTCTTATTTTCTCCTGAGAAGTCTCTCCCAGGAAAACCTGTTGTTTGTCCTGTTGGTTGTCACTGGAACACACGTTTTGGTTTATACTGGGGAAGGGAGGGGGCATTTGAGACTCCCACAATTCCAGTCTTTTAAAAGTGGAGCTGTTGCTGAAGGGCTCTCAGGCTGCCCTGGGGACATTCCAGAGGGATGTGTTTGAGGTGGCACCTGAGCTTTCAGCTGGTTCTCTTTTCAGTCACAAACTACCCAGCAACAGCCTCACCCACGTGCCCTCAGATCTCATCTGTCTCCTCTCAGGAGCACTCCAGGTTATGCTGTATTGAGAATTTGGAGGTGGGTTTTTTAGTGTATTTCATAGGGGAAAAGGAGAAAATGGATTCCTTTCTCATTTGCATTTAAATCTTTTGCCTGAAACACTGTCTAAACAATTAACAGCACAGATTCCAGAAATTAACCTTTTTTTTTTTAAATTTCATCCCATAGTTTACAAAAATATTGTCAAAACTCCAGTTACTCCCCGTGCTGAAGTTCTGTCTTCTACTATTTGCCATAATTTATAACACTGGGAATATTGGATAGTGGACATTAGCACTCTTTCCTTTCCAAACCTAGTTTTATTTAGTTAATCTGCAGTTTTTTCCCTGTGCTTTCAACTCTGACAAATGTCCCTGAATACAGTTGAGATCTAAGTGGGTATCCAAACCATTTGGTGGAGACAGCTGAAATATCTGTCTCAGTCTGCTTTGTGGTTTTGTTTCTCCTCATATAAAACAATTTATCATCTACCCACATTTTTTTCCAAATACTGGAAAAAGAAAACCAAACAACAAAACAACCAGCTTTAACAAAGTTAACGTACTGTAAAGTATTTAAACATCTGCCATGACTGTAGGTCATAACAGACTTGTTCAACTGCTAAAAGACTTCTGTCCATATTTTCAAACCTTGACAATTTGAAGCAGTTGGAAGAAAGAATTCTAATTAATTGTAGGAAGTTTGTCAGCAAGTTGTCTCATTGGTATGAATTGGTGATGTAACAATGGAACATTAACAAGACTCGAGAATTTTATGTTTCCTGGAAGGTTTTCAGTCTTTTCTTGTGCTGCATCACGCAAATAAAAAAATCCTAAAGTTGGTGTGTTCCCTTGTCCAGCTGTTTGGGTTTTACAAGCAGGGGGGACCCCTCTTGGAGGAGATGTATTTGGGGTTTGGTGCTCTCCCAGAGATGTGCAGTGAGGGACAGGCTGTGGATGTGACTTGGGGATTTTGTTTGAAAACTCCTATTTTTAAAGCAATCTGTGCTTTCTTGTAAACTGTACACAAAGTCTTTTGTGCTGCTGTGCCAAACCCCAGGCTTGGTGTAGATAATGTTTATAGTGATGTTGCAAATGGAAAGCACAATTTAATTCCAAGTTGGTGTTAACAGTAAAGAGCCATCCACCCTGCACTAACTGTTTAAGGACTAAATATAACAACAACAGAGCAGTTTCACAAACAGCAGTCATGGACATAGAGATGTTTTCATGCATGTGGACTAATTGTTGTTCTGGTGCTTTCAGGCCATGAATATCCTGGTTCCCTTCATGTTTAAGTATGCAGTGGACAGCCTGAACCAGGTGTCTGGGGACGTGCTCAACCTCGGCGATGCCCCCAGCACGGCGGCGACCCTGGCAACTGCTGTCCTCGTGGGCTGTGAGTGCCATTCCCAAAGCTGGGGGGTGGGAATGTCCTTCAGGAAGGGAGGGAACAGCAGAGCTTTCTGACCTTGGCACTGCTGACACAGTGGATGGTTATTTCATGGATCTTCAGAGCAGTTTGGATTGGAAGGGACCTTAAAACTCATCTCATTGCACCCCTTGCCATGGGCAGGGACACCTTCCACCAGCCCGGGTTGCTCCAAGCCCCATCCAACCTGGCCTTGGACACTTCCAGGGATCCAGGGGCAGCCACAGCTTCTCTGGGCAGCCTGTGCCAGGGCCTGCCCATCCTCACAGCCAGGAATTCCTTCCCAATATCCCATTTATCCCTGCCCTGTGGCAGTGGGAAGCCATTCCCTGTGTCCTGTCCCTCCATGCCTTGTCCCCAGTCCCTCTCCAGCTCTCCTGGAGCCCCTTTAGGCCCTGCAAGGGGCTCTCAGGTCTCTCTGGATCTTTTCTTCTCCAGGTGATTCCCCCCACCTGTCCCAGCCTGGCTCCAGAGCAGAGGGGCTCCCGCCCTGGCAGCATCAGAACTATTTCATAGTTACTCTCTGTTGATGTCTGTTCCCAATATTCTCTGACCTTGTTTCTGGTATTCCAATTAAAAAAATGAAATAATGCTTACAGAAATTATTCTTGATTAAAAATCCTGCCCTTTCTCATAACCAGCTGCAAAAGAAACTGATTTAAATGTGCACACAATGGTTTGTAAATGAAAAATTGCATAAAGCTTGGACCAATTAAGTATAAATTACCTTTGAACTAGAAATGTTGAAAATATATAAAGAATGAGTCTGGTGTAATTTCATGCATGAAGGGAAGTTGAAAATATAATTATTTTCATTTTGTAAAAGTTTTTCATCCTTTTTTAGATGGTATCTCGAGAGCGGGGGCAGCATTATTCAATGAAGCAAGAAATGCAGTATTTGGGAAAGTAGCTCAAAATTCCATCAGAAGGATCGCCAAGAACGTTTTCCTGCACCTTCACAACCTGGACTTGGCCTTCCATCTGAGCAGGCAAACAGGAGCTCTGTCAAAAACCATCGACAGAGGCACGAGGGGCATCAGTTTTGTCCTCAGTGCTTTAGTGTTCAATCTGGGACCCACAATGTTTGAAGTGGCTCTGGTCAGTGGGATTCTGGTGAGTGCTGTCTGTTCACTGCTGGAATTGTCTCATTTAGGGATAATACATTGATTTGCTCTTACCAAAGTCTACTGGGTATTAATAATAAGACAATTTCAAAGGTGGTTGTGAAAGCAGCTCCTGTAAAGGAGAACAATACATAATTTGCAAATATTAGTTCCTTTGAATCAACTTATTTAAAATCATTTCCATGTTTAACTCCTGTCTTCAGCCAGTGGTATTTATGTGGATAGTTTTCCATGCTTTTCTTCAGAATTCGAGGGTTGGACTTGATGATCTCTGAGGTCTTTTCCAACCTACGATTCTATGAATTGTTGGAAAAATGAAATCAGAAGAGTAAACTGTGCACACAAATGTCAAATATATCCAGGTAAAGAGGGAGGAAGCAGAATATAAATGTCCAGAAATGTTGTGGACTAGCATGTTGATGACAGAGAAGGGAGTGATTATTGGTTCTTTCCTGTCTTTTTTTTTTTTTTTTCATCCAGAACTTCAAAGTGAAAATTAGCTTTTGGAAAATTGGCTTCTCCTTCTTGCTTAATAAGCTCCATTTTCATCTTTTCTTTTATAAAAACACATTTCCTGTGTTTGAAATCAGGATCTTTGGGTATCTCTGTGCTAAAATCGAAATCTTGATTACATGGCTTACGCTAAATTAAAACCAAGAACCTTGTTTTGTTTCTCCTCCTTTTTAGAAGGACTTATTGGAGTCTGAATGTAACAACATCAGTTAAAAGGCCTGTTGGTGCTTGGGTCACGTTTTATAACCCTTGGAAGTTGCAGCTCCAGCTGGCTCTCAGCCAACTGCCACCCTGCTGGAATTTCTCAGGGCTGTTCTCTCCTGATGTGCTCGGAAGCAGAGAAGACACTTTATAAATTGTTTATAGTTTGTCTTCAGTTTTCTTTCAAAATCCGCCCCAAAAGCACGGCAAGAAATACTTAATTGTGATAAAAGCACGAACATCAGCAGCATTTATGTTTTATAATGGCAGAAATAACTTTGCAGTGTTATTTACACCAGCTCTTGGTCATAACCTCCCATCTTTTTATCTAAATCCTTCTTGCTGCTTTCCTTTCGAGTTTAGGCCTTTGTTTAGCCTTAAGAGCAGGGATTGTGTTGGGAGGGACCATCAGCCCTTGTATCAAAATCAGGTGGAGACAACAGTGAAGTTTGGAAAATGATTCTGACCTGTCGTTTTGCTTTTGTTCTCAACGTCGCAGTACTACAAGTGCGGTGCCGAGTTCGCTTTGGTCACCCTGGGCACTCTGGGAGCCTACGCAGCGTTCACCATCGGGGTTACCCAGTGGAGGTAAGGCAGGCCCTGCCCTCTGTGCCCCCCCAGGGGCTGGGGCTGAGCTCAGAGCTCCGAGCTCAGCCTGCACTGCTGACCCTGCCTGACCCACCCTGCCCTCCGCAGGACCAAGTTCCGCATAGAGATGAACAAGGCCGATAACGACGCTGGCAACGCGGCCATCGACTCGCTGCTCAACTATGAGACTGTGAAGGTAAGGCCAGTCTTCACTGCCTGGCTCTTTGTCATAAGATTCATCTTTCATAGGGCTACAGCTGCGGAGCAATAGCCTGTTTTCAAACATGATTCATTTACAGAGCACTGCGTGGCATCGACAGAGGAGCACGGAGGGTTTAGTGGGGCTTGAAAGAATCTGCTAATAGAGAGTGAGAAGTGTCCTTCATGACTGAATCATCCTCAGCATCAGTTTCTGCAAAAGTTAGTCTGGAAGAGGAAGTTTAGGTTGGATCTCAGGGAAAGGTTCTTCCCCCAGAGGGTGGTTGGCACTGAACAGGCTCCCCAGGGCAGTGGGCACAGCCCCAAGGCTGCCAGAGCTCCAGGAGTGCAGGGACAAGGCTCTCAGGGACAGGGTGGGATTGATGGAATGTGCTGGGCAGGGCCAGGGGTTGAACTGGATTGAAGCTGACCCTTCCAGCTCAACCTATTCTATGATTCTTTTCTCTCTAGTTGTTAAATCTGTTGGAGCGCAGTTGTGTACCCGTGCCTGTAGCATGTTAATACTCTATTTTGTAACAACCTAAACAACCTCAACGGTCACGAGGCTGCCACATTTACCATTTTTGTGTATGTTGTAGTATTTCAATAACGAAAAATACGAAGCCCAACGGTATGATGAGTTCCTGAAGACCTATGAAAATGCCTCCCTGAAGACTACCTCCACTTTAGCTCTCCTCAACTTCGGACAGAGCGCTATATTCAGTGTTGGCTTAACAGCCATCATGGTGCTTGCCAGCCAGGGCATTGTTGCAGGTAACTCATCTGTCTGTAAGCTAAAGATGACTCTGCTTTACCTTGATTTCATCCGTAAGAGAGGAGTTAATTTTACCTAATCTATGGTTGATATGAAAGTTTATTTTGAGTGGTTTTGCTCGAGAGCTTTTACTTAAGAGTTTTCCCTTTTTCTGCTTCTTGGAGTATAATTAATCCCATGATATATATGTGTATATATATATATATATAGCAATAACTAGTATGATTTCATCAAAAACATTTTAAAAGTTAAGCAGTTAGAGAAAGATCCCAAGAAAATGTCACTTCAGGAAGTTTCTGTTGAAGGCTCGGGAAAGACACTTTTAAACATGCAAATACTTCTGTGGACCTTCTACCAAGACCTTTTGTTTTTCCCCTTCTTCCTTTTCCATCTTGGCAACAGTCAGGACTTCTCCCCCAAGTGTGTGTATATATATATATATATATATATATATATACACTCATGTGCTTTGTCTCCTGTAGTTTTATCACCAGTGTCCTTCACTTTCCTTAGATTAATCAGGGCACATTATTCAAACAATTAATAGGGGTTTTTAATCTACTAATTTACTACACAAAGTCTGCTTGTTTAGGAAGACAAAGTACAATTCACTTACAGCATTGGGGTGAGGCTCAGCTAAAGCAAGGGGGTTTCAGAGTAAAAATAACGATGTTTTAAACACTGGTAACGTCCAGAAGTGTTTGAAGGGCAGACATTTATACCATATGGTCTTTTTTGCATCTGCTTTTCCCTTTTTAAGAGATGCCAGGGCAGAGAAGGGTTACAGCGTGACCAGATCAATCAGTAGGTGCAGTTCATGACTGTTCTTAGGAAAATTTACAATAGCTTGAAGCAGGATGGTAGAAATATGGCTTTAAATCATCTTTTTGGGGCCTGTTTCAGCTGAACTAACCTGGCACTTACCTTTAGCTGTGTGTCCTCCTCAGTTTTCCCTTGATCAGCCTGTTTGATGCTAAGCTGCCCAGAGGTTCTCACTGTGGGTTTTAGCAGCTCTGTAGTATGATCATGACAAATTCCATCAGTCAGATTTGTCTGTAATTGCACTTAAGATTGTCTTTCCTGATTTGTGCTCTCATATATTAGCTGCTCCCCTTCTAACTTATTTAGGCCCCTTTAAGTTTCTCTCTGTGGGATTTCCAGCTGCACAGTCTGATGTTTTATATGCTGCTTGCCTTATTTTCCAGTGCCATTTTATCTTTTTTTAAAGTGAAACCCACACAAACATGGCCATTCAGCCACCTTCCTATATAAAACCTGATCTTCTGGGAATGGGTTTTGTTTGCTGTTTAAACATACAGGGTTAGAAATGGGGTAAAAGAAACTAGAATTGATTGATTATTTTTTTTAAATCTTTTGGTACTTCCTGACAAGACAACCCTTCAAGTCTCCTTATTCTCTCACATCCATTTTGTCTTAAGGCAGCCTTTCTGTTGGAGATCTAGTAATGGTGAATGGATTGCTGTTCCAGCTTTCTCTTCCCCTAAACTTCCTGGGAACAGTATACAGAGAGACAAGACAAGCACTTATAGATATGAATACCTTGTTTACACTTCTCAGTGTAGATACCAAAATTAAAGTAAGTAGTAGCTTATTTTCCTAAAATATCCGGGTATTTAATAGGGCTGTTTGTGACAATGCCATCGTTTCATCCCATTTTCTTCCCTTCCAGGTTTAATTTCTGTTCATGAATGAGTTGTTGGGTGTAAGGGTGCAGTTACTGCAGTTGAGTATTTTTCTTGCAGAGAAGCAGAAGTTGTTTCATGGGAGCTGTGTTTGTATTGATTTTTTTTTTTTTAATTTAAGCATTCATGCCTCGTGCTTGAATTGTTATTGGTAATTAATGATGCAGAATTTATCATTGCAAAAGAAGTTGCGAGGCAAAGTGTTCACAGCAGAAATTTTTACCTCCTTTGGGGGAGAGGATGAGAGAACCAATGTCACTTGTGCAGCAAATGGTAACTATTTTCCACATATCCCATGGGGCTGTTTGCCTTTTTCTGAGCTGGGAAATGGACTGTTGAACTATTGGAGATACTTTCTGGGCAGCAGATAAAGTGGAACTCTTCTTTTAACAGGACAAAGAGCTGGCTCCCCCCCTGCAGATCACCCCCCAGACTGCTGCCATCGCCTTTGATAATGTGCATTTCGAGTACCTTGAGGGGCAGAAAGTCCTTTCTGGAGTGTCCTTTGAAGTCCCTGCAGGAAAGAAAGTGGCCATTGTAGGAGGTAGTGGGTCAGGGTGGGTAAATGGACTAAATATGCCAATCAATGCAGAATTTAGCTTCTTAAACACGGTGCCTCTTGTGTTTGCTTTTTATAATTTTTGTTTCTGACATCAATTCCAATTGGAGATTGTAAATGGCAAAGCAGAATGTAACATTAACTTCAGTTCTTTTCAATTCCAGGAAAAGCACAATTGTGAGGTTATTATTTCGCTTCTATGAACCTCAGAAAGGAAATATTTATGTTGCTGGACAGAACATCCAAGATGTCAGTTTGGAAAGTCTGAGAAAGGCAATAGGAGTTGTACCCCAGGTATTCCATGTTTGCTTCTCCCCAGTAGTCCACTGCAATAGTAATTTGCTGTGGTTCAGTGGAGGTCAATCCTAATGCAGTGGTGTTGTCTTAATTCCTTTGAAAGTCACCATGCCTGTTGTTTTTTGGTTGTTTTTTTTTTTTTTCCCCAGGAAATATTATGTTTTTATGTGCATCATCATATAGATCCAATTTCTGAAATGTGCTTAAGCCTCCCCATGAGAAACTGCCTCCAGCTTTAAGTGATTTAGCTTTAGAGTTGATTACCACCCATAATGAGTTAGCAAAGTGGGGAAAGTATGCATGACATACATATTTAGGACACAAAACGTATTAATCCCATTTTTGGGAAATTTCCCCAAACGCTTTTACATTCAGGCTTTGTAGAAAAAAATCTAAGCTGTTCTGTATTGATTCCTGTCACGGTTTGGGCACAGCTTTGTCACGGTTTCTTATTTGAAACGTTCTTCCCACCCCTGCAGGATGCTGTTCTCTTCCATAACACCATCTACTACAACCTGCTGTACGGCAACACCGGGGCCAGCCCCGAGGAGGTGTATGCAGTGGCCAGGCTGGCAGGGATCCACGATGCCATCCTCAGGATGCCCAATGGATACAACACCCAGGTCGGGGAGCGGGGCCTCAAACTCTCAGGTAGGATCTCAAACACACGAGTTCTTGATATCCCTTTGGCTGCCCCAGAGTTCAGGGCAGAGTTTATTCCTCACTCAGACTTGCTTTTAGCTTCTTTACCTTATGATGGTAGAAAAGACCTCCAAGAGCATCATCAAGTCCAGCCTTTGATTAAATCCCACTGTGCCCACTAAACCATAGTGCCAAGTGCCACGTTCACTCAGTTTTTGAACACTTCCAGGGGTGGTGACTCCACTGTTACCCTGGGCAGCCTGTGCCAGTGCTTAACCACTCTTTCAGTGAAGAAGGTTTTCCTAATACCCAATCTGAACCCATTTCCTCTCCTCCTGTCCCTGTTCCCTGGGAGCAGAGCCTGGACCCCCACCGGCTCCCCCCTCCTGTCAGGGAGTTGTAGAGCCAGAAGGTCCCCCCTGAGCCTCCTTTTCTGCAGCCTGAGCCCCCCCAGCTCCCTCAGCTGCTCCAGACCCTTCCCAGCTCCATTCCCTTCTCTGGACATGCTCCAGCCCCTCAGTGTTCTCATAGTGAGGGGCCCAAAAAACATAACTATAAAGGCTAAATATTAAATATGAAGATCCACAGTGTAAGGCAGCTGCAGTTTGCAAGGTATTTAAAGGAGTGTATTTTCAGGGGATATTGCTGAGTGAGATGATGTGTAAGCATGGATATGCATCTGTGTCAAAATGCTCTTTCTCATAATCTGGCTCGTAATCCCCATAAAATGGGGAGCTTTCTGTATGTGTGCTCTGGGCCCTGTTCAGAGGTTACAGCCTGTCCCCAGAACAGAGTGCACAGCTGCTGAAGGGGAATTCAGGGAAGGGGACAAGGGAAATAAAAGATGGGAAGCACAAATCTGTGTGAGGAATTAGAAAGATACAAAATAGGTACTGGTGGAATGTGATGCCTGCCTTCCCACACTAGTAATAATTAGAAAGAGGATTTGACTGACAATAGATTTGAAATGTCTTGGTGTTTGTGAAAGCATAGAATGGTTTGTGTTGAAGGAGACCCTCTAAAAATCATCTTCACCCAAAGGGCTGCCCAGCCCTGGCACAGCTGCCCAGGGCAGTGGCAGAGTCCCCATCCCTGTGGGGATTTAGAAGTTGTGTGGATGTGGCTCTGGGGACGAGGGTTAGTGATGGCCTTGCAGTGCTGGGGGAATGGTTGGACTCTCTGGGCTCAGAGGGCTTTTCCAACCTGAACAATTCCATGATTCTGTGTCCCATCTAAATCAGGAGCATTGTGTGGGTGTGTCAGAGATCCCTTCTGACCTCGAGACTCCTGTCTGAAAATGGGTTGTGCCTTTACTCCATCCTTCATTTTGTGCTGCCACTGTGATGGCCATAAACACCCACCTGCCAGTGGAGGTGTTTAGAAAGTGAAGTGTGGAAATGTGTTCCTTTCCTGCTTTGTTTGTATTTAAGGAAAATAAGAGTATGTAAAATGCTTAGGAGAAAGACAATGGAATTCCGTGGGGACAGAAAAAGTGCTTAGAGTGGGTATCTGCTACTGAAACAGCAGCTTCAGTGTCCTATTTTCAGCAATTAGATGAGCACTGGCAAATAACAGTGGTAACCAAGTGTCAGGAGTGTGTGCAGTCAGGCTGCAGGAGTCCTGGGCTGGTGCTCTCAGAAGGGGTTTAGTTGCTCAGAGGATTGGAGATACCAAATGAAAACCTTTGAGGTCCTTCGGTAGCTCTGTAAAAAATATGGTATCTGTTACTTGGAGTCTCTAGTTTTCTGAATAGTAGAATGGCTCCCTAAATTCTTATAAAGGTTTAATTTTTATTCCTGTAAAGGATTCATTTCTGCATCAGGTTTGTTGTTCTTGAGGGTTTTTTTAAGTTGATTGAGGCTTCATATCCTTCTGGTCTAAGGAAAGCACAAAGTCCTGATTTATGGCTTTTTTTAAAATAGTATTTTGTGGCAGAAACAGTGGGGGTGAAAGGCCTGTGAATTGAAGGGTCCTCTTTGAAATCCAAGTGTTTTATGTGCATGATGGAAATGCAAGGTTGTAGTTGAAATGAGATCTTTTCGAATTTAGATGTTGAAGTAGCATTTAGTGCAGTTCCTGGTGGTCTCAGTGACGGATTCATTAACAGTAGAGAGTGAAAACCAAGTTGTTTGGGCTTTTCCAAGTAGAATCCATATCAGTGTTTTCTAATAGATTGGTGACAGACAGAGCCAAACCCCTGCCTCTATGAATGCAGATGTTCATGTGCTGCTGTCTGAGTGTGAACGAGGAAAGAGCATGAAATAAGGATGTGCTACAAATGTAAGGGGTTTTCTTGTTGCAGAATGACTTTCAAACATGGATATTGTCAAGCTGTGAGTTCTGAACATGCTGGAAAGGAGAGGGAGGAAGAGCACATTAAAATAGACTGAGTAAATTGTACAGTTCTAATTGCTCTGAGTTCTGCCAAAGACTGTCTAAAATGTGAACTGCAGCATTTCCATCAGCCTTTTAAATGGTTTATGAAAGCATGTTCTCTCCTGATAGGAATGGAACATTAACAAGGATAGAATGGTATTAAATGGAATGTTTTGAAGTCTTGAGTAAAACAAAGGAGGACAAGTGCACAAATGTGACGTGGATGCATTGCATACCAAATGTTGAGCAGATTTTAGGCTCTCAAATGCACCTGTTTTCCTATCTGTAAAAGTTGCCCCGAGTTGTTCTTGAGTAGATGTTGGCTGTAAGAATTTTGAAGGAAGGCAAATTAGTCTGAAACTGGGTTACCCCAGAAAGCAGCAGGCTGAAGGTGGTTTTCAGTACCATATTAACAGTGTTCTTGAATGACATTTACCACTGTGGAGTGGAGAGTTAGATAAATATCAAGGAGAGAGACCTGAAAGACACACTGTGTGAGCAAAATGCATGAAACCCAGTGCAGCAGCATGGACAGAGCACTGGCTGTTTGGGTGAGAAAACAGGGTTTGTGTGTGCAGTTACTGGATGGGGCAGAGCTCAGGTACAAAACAGTTCTGTCCTTTTCCAGAAGGATAAGCAATCTTGAATCACCAGGGAGCAGGAATTTGTGTGCTATCTCATGTAACATGCCAGACCTTTGTCAGCAGTAACTGTGATGTCTGTTAAAAATATAAAAGAAAAAAGCTAAGAACCAACCCTCAAAAGTGATGTCTGCTGTTGAATTTACACTGTCACAGTTCTAACTTCATTTTTTTTTCTTCTTTCCCCTCTTCTCCTCTTTCAGGTGGAGAAAAGCAAAGAGTTGCAATTGCTAGAGCAATGTTAAAGGATCCACATATTTTTCTCTATGATGAAGCCACATCATCTTTAGATTCAATTACAGAAGAGGTAAATGGAGATAAAAAAAATTCTAAAATTGAAGTGGTGCAATGGTGTCTGATTCTGATACTTTTCCCCTGTTCTTTTCCCCTCAGAAGGAATTCTGTTCTTTTTGCCAAAGTGCTGTCAAGTGTTTTCTCAGCAGTATTAAGAGATGCTGTGTCTGAGCCTTTGTCCTAAAAACCAGAGCAGAGATGCTGAGTCTGTCTGCTGGCACACAGTGAGGGGGATCAGCTGGCTCTGGGATATTTTCTTGGGCACTCTGGAGGTCCCCTTTACCCTTACACATTTATCCCTTGAAACTGGTGCTAACACCTTTAAGTGTGAAGAAGCTTTCCAATCCACTTGGAAAGGTGTTTAGATGACATCTAGCATCCATTAAAAATATCTCCTGAATACTTGTGACACAGTGCAGGACAGCAAACCTCTTGTTTCTGAGATGCAGATGCAGGTGTGACCTGCAGTGCTGGTGTTGGTTTGTGTTCATTTCCCAGGCAGGGCTGTCACATGGATGTCGTGACACTGTGACAGGAACTGCATCAAGGCTTCATAACGTCTTTCTTTAAGCACAAAACCCTCAGCCCCAGCAGTAATTTCCCACACTAATGTCATCAAGGACTTGAGCTAAGCTGTGGCTGCCTTCACTTATGCAGATTATCGAGCGAATTTATTGACCTGTAATCACTACATTACTTTCATTTTCCAGGCACAAAGAAATCAGAGTATGAACTGTATATCCATCTAGGACAGCCCTGAAATGTAGCACAGCTCCCTGGTGGAGCAGCAGTGTCCATAGCACAGTTCTGCAGAACAGCACGGGCACTCTCGCTCTTGTTTGGCTGCATCTGCTGCAAGAGTCGTTAGCAAAGCTGGAAGTTTGACAGTGTAAATGCACCTGAAAGGCAGCAGATGAAAGTGAGCCCTTTCCACAAGGCTGTGCCTGGGAATTGAAACGGTTTCTGACAAAAAAAGAAAGTTCTCAGGGAACTGAGGAGGACACTTCACTGTTGGTAGTGAGGGCACAAAGTCACAGACAGTGCTCCTTGCAGAGGAGTGTGGTTTGGGAAGGTGGCAGAGTGCTCACAACGGGAGCACTGCATAGATAGATAACTCCCAGAATTGCTTTAACTTTATATTCTGCAGTGGCATGATGTTGAGGGGGACTTTTTCCTTTAACTTTCATTAGAAAGTATTATGATGATGATGATGAGTTATTTTCAGATGCTTTTACTGCTGTTTGTTGCTTGTGTACCATGTTCCACGGGAAGGTTTTCCTGAAATCCAGTGACCCTTCTTCTCTTCCTTTGTCCCTGGGGATAGCTGTGTTTTTCTCTGAATACAAGCTTGATTTTTTTGCAGTTTGAGGCTTTATCAGAACCACAGGTATTTCATGCTTGGGACTCTTCTGTTTCCTTGGTAGATGCTTGTGGCTGTTTGTTATTATGAAGCTGTAGCAGTACCAGAAGTGTTTCTCAAAACTTATTTCCAGTAATTTGCGTATTTCCAGCTGCATTTTATTTCTCCTCATCCCACCCAGGAGTGTGTAAGAGTCTGTGTGTGTTCCAATCTTGCAGAACATTCTCAAAGCCATGAGGGACATGGTGAAGCACCGGACGTCGATCTTCATTGCTCACAGGTTGTCCACGGTGGTGGATGCGGATGAGATCATCGTGCTGGATCAGGTGAGGGATCCCCTGAGGGCTGGGGGGCTTCCACAGCCTGTCAGTGTTTGCTTTAGGGACTCTCTGTTTGAATTACCACACTCCCACCAAGCTGCTGGAAGCTCTTTCTTTGGGAGTAAACCACACTGGAAAGTTCGAGCTCAGGCTTGGCTTTTTGTACATTTCTCTTCACAAACTTGCACGTGAGACTCTCTCATACCTTGTTGTTTTTTATGGCTCACTGTTGCATGGTTTTGATCTAATTTATGACATGCTCCTGTCAGATGAATTTACTAAAGTGTTCCCCCAATTTATGCTTCACTCTTGTTGCTCAATGAGTGTCTATTTTTCACATACATCCGTTTTTTCATTTCAATGGAAAGAGATAGGACAGCATGTTCTGTTGCCATGCAGATAGAACTACTGCAGGATTGTTCAACCTAATTATGTTATAAATCTGAGCACCATTCTCTGTTGTACCTGTAGAAAAATGCAATTGTTCCCTTTCTCTTCTAAGAAAAAACCCAGTAAATTTCAGCATTTAATTTGTTAATACCACTATTGAGCTGTTACCTCGTGCTCAGTGTGTCCAAAGTCCATTTTCTTCTCTATTACCCATACCTGGCAAGAGATTTAAAATAAACAAATGTCCTCATGATAACTTCATAATTACTCTTTTAACTGATAATGCTGAAAGTACAGTGCTCTAATCTGCTGATAATAGATGTTAAATTTATCTCTGCATTCATTTTTATCAGTTGCTATTTATATGCTCGTGATCATAGGTGTATTTAGTGACTTAAAATACACATCTAAAAGCAAATAAATTATTCCTGCAGTACATTCTGTGGTTTCATGGGGAATTAGAACAAGCTCTCATGAAATGGTGACATTCATGACTGACTTTGCTACACAGATCTCAGCTTTATATGGAGCTCAGAAAGAAGTAGTGGAATAAATCACTTGCAGTGCTCTATGGAGTTTTTCTTCAGTTCTGATCCGCTTTGTTTTTCAGCTTTTGCTGAACAATCCTTTCCTAAGGTATATCCTTTATCCAGCTGCACATTAAAACACCTTGCAAGTGTTTCTGAACGTGTTACAAGGCGATCTGCAGCTCTTTGTTTTCGATGCAAGTTTTCACAGCTTACTAAGAGTGTGTTTTTGTTAGAGTGGAAGTGTTACATTAAAAATGAAAGCACAGCCTGGAACTGGAGCAGAGCTGGGGTGCTCCTTTCCTGAGGGATGCTGGTGGGACTGGGAATGGGGAGGGGGCTCCCGAGGCAGCACCTCCTGCCACCCCAGCAGGACTGACCTGGAGCAGCCAGAGAAGGTGCATTTTGATGACTGGGCAAGAGTTATTAAAAAAAAAAAGGCACTATAATTCAAAAGCCTGGCCTCTACTACAACGAGCTCCACGTTAACCCCTTGAAGGTTTTAAGTAAATTCTGCGGTTCTGTTGATCAAATTTTTGTGTTCAGATTCCATCAGCATAACTTCTGATGGAAGTGCCAAGACCCACATTTTTTTCCCAGCATATCCATCAGCAGCTGTCACAAGGAGGTAGATTTAACTGTAGGTCAGAATTTAGAATAACATCAAATCCACATAGTTGTCTGTATAATTCTGTCCTTTAGCAGAAGAAAGAGTAGCTGGAGAACAAATACCTTAGTTTGGTTTGAAGTCAGTGAATGTGTCTCTCAAAGTGAAAAGATCAGTCTGGTTTTTTGAAGAGTGGTGGTGTTTCTCTGTCTGTAGGGTTGGAGTTCCCTTGGGTTGTCCTCTCCAGCTGTTCCTTCCCATTTCCACAGTGATTATCAATAAATCATCTTTCCCTTGAGAACAGCCCAGATGAAGTGAACTGCTGAGACCATTGTCGTGGTGGCCCTTGCAGGGACACAGGCTACAGAGCTCCCATAAAAGCACAGTTTACGCTAATTCTTTGCAGGATTTGATTTTAAATGTGCTTTGCTTGTCTAATACTCTTTGCTCTTTTTTTTTTTAGCCTCTTCCTGTGTATTTGTTACCGAGCAAAAACAAAACAGGTGCTTGTTTTGGTTGCTCCTCATATAGAAGTCCATGTTTACTTTAAGTAGCTCTTCCATTTTAAATAGTAAAAGTTTCCATGCTGGTGGGCTTTACATTTTGCCCAGATGGACAAGAGGTAGGTAGATTCCCATTTCTCCAAGTCTGGGAGGAGCACAGCTTCATGTTTTCCGTGTGATACACTGAGTGAACTGTGCATTCCGTCATTCCACGCTGTCCCAAGCTCCTCCTCGTTAACAACTGCTCTAATCTATACTGGACAATTGTGCTCCCTGTGTTGGGGACAGATCCTAAAGATGTGGTGATGTGGATTCCTGAGCTGCTCCTTGTTTTGCAGGGGAAGGTGGTGGAACGTGGCACTCACACGGAGCTCCTGGCGAGTGCCGGCAATCTGTACTCAGAGATGTGGCACACGCAGAGCAGCAAAGTGCTCCACAGTCACAACCACCCCAGCTGGCAGCAGAGGAACAACCAGCCATCCAAAGAGGAGGAGAGGAAGAAGCTGGAAGAAGAAATTCTGAATAGTGTGAAAGGCTGTGGGAACTGTTCGTGCTGAGAACGAGCCTGGATCAGTCGTGTGTAGCAGGTTCAAAATGCACAAGAATACAGTGAAATGCAGCTCTTGTTTTTAAGTCAGCATTCAAAAACTTCTGGGGTTTGCAGTTTTGGGGTTTTACAGTTTCACAGAGGGACATAATTTCAACCAAAGGAGTTCTATTTTTGCATCTTTAGAAACCTGTAATATTCAGTGGCATCTGCAAGAGCTGGGCTTTTTGAAAACTTTAAACTTCCCAACTAAGAGTATAATTTATGGCAATTTTTAGGTATTGGTAAACTCTCCTGGTAGTCGCTTGATGTGGACTTTTAAATTGTAAACAGATTTGTCCTTGATTTACATTATTTCTCATCATTAATGGATGATAGATATGTCATGTTTTAATTGTAATTGGGCTAATTTGAACTCATTTGCTAGTGAGGAAGATGCCATTTAAATTCTTCAGTGGTGTTCTGGTTTAAAGTGTTCTTCCTCGTAAAGAATAAGAAAAGCCTCAACAAAATATTAGAGGCTTCTAGTAGCAAACTAAACACTGAAATTATCCATCTCACCCTTCAGAAGCACCTTTTGTACTGCACTATCAGGAAATAAATTGGTATCATTCTAAAGGAAAACTAATAGTATTTTTAAGTGAAAAATGAAAAAAAAAATCTGAGTTTCGGATTCTGTATCCTCAGCATCTGCTGTGGCAGTTGAGGCAGAATGCAGTCGCTCTTTCTAGTTCAGTCACGGTCTTAGGGAGCAATTAAGATTCAATAAAGACTTCCATAAATTTCTATTATCTCATTAATGTATGAGAAAATGACCTGGATAACGCTGAAAGCATTGCTATAATAATCTCCTCCTTTCAACAGCCCAAACTCCTCCAGTGGCAGCAAAGCTCAGTGTCTGGGATCTGCAGGACGCTGGGGGTGTGTTGGGTTTGGGGAGGGGGCTGCAGGGGGGGCTTCTGGGAGGAGGTGCCAGAAGCTTCCCCTGTATCTGCCAGAGCCCATCCCAGATGGCTCCACGAGGGACCCACTGCTGGCCAAGGCTGAGCCCACCAACAATGGGATAATGTATTTGGGAAGAGAGGGAAACGCTTGTAAGTGTAAGAGCAACTGCAGCTGGAGAGAAGAGTGGGAATATGTGAGAGCAGCAGCCCTGCAGACACCAGGCTCGGGGAGGATGAGCTGCAGGCACTGCAGCAGAGATCACCTGCAGCCCATGGAGGAGAGGACCCCACACTGGAGCAGAAGGATTTGCCCAGGACAGGCTGTGACCTCTTGGGAAGCCTGTGCTGGAGCAGGACATGGGATCCTGTGGAAGACACACTCTGGAGCAGCCTGTGCCCAAAGGACTGACCCATGGAAAGCAGACACGTGGGAAGGACACACTGGAGTGCAGGGGAGGACAGTGAGGAGGAAGGAGCAGCAGAGCCAACGTGCTGAACTGACCACAGCCTCCATTCCCTGTCCCCTGTGCCACCTGCAAGGAGGTGGAGAATTTAGGAGTGAAGCTGAGCCCAGGAAGAAGGCAGGGGATGGGAGGAAGGTGTTTTAAGATTTGGTCTCATTTTCTCATCACCCTACTCAGACTTCTAATTGGCAGACAATTAAATGAATTTCCCTGAGATGAGTGTTTTGCCCATGACAGTAATTTGCTGGGTGATCTCTCCCTGTCCTTAACTCAGGAGCTTTTCCATGTGTTTTCCCTCCCTGCCCAGCTGAGGAGGGCAGGGATGGAGTGGGTTTGGTGGGCACCCAGTGTGCTGCCAGGGCCAGCCCACCACAACCCCATTGTATTTTCAGGCCTTGTCTCTTCAGAGAGACCATCTCTATTTAGCACAAGCTATTCTGGTGTAATTCTTCATGGTGAATTCAAGAATTAAAATCTTTCTCTTGGATGTTGAAAAATAACTGTTATTTCTGGGGAATTACACCAGTATAATTAGACTGATGTAATTACGTTTGTAAATCAGATGCAAGGTTTCTCAGTGTGGGCATTGGGGAAGGGCTGAATTTGGTGCTTCTGGAAATTTAATTGCAAATAGCATTTATTTTCTTTGTGTTATGCCCTCCCCTGCAACTAAATATAGGAACAGTAACTTAAAAGGAGCGAAACCTTTGCTAGTTATTAATTTTCTCTCTTCTAAAATGATGGGTGAAAAAAACCCAACCTGGCATCAATCTGCAGTTAAAAATGGTTTTAAAAGTGTACTTTAATTTTCAACCTTGGAGTGCAGAAGCAAAGTGAAGTCCTGTTAATGTAGTGGCAGTGCAGAATTCCAGCTTACAGCCTTCCCTTTATTTTCCCTAATGGTCTCCTGGTTTAGCTGACAGCAGTCAGGGGACTGTAAAGGTGCAATTATGTTCCAGCTGCCAGAAACAGCAAAAGTTTATTGAAACTACCCTGCAAGAGCTCATTTTTGGAATTAACTTATCTGTCTGCTGTTCATGCAGCAGGGAACGGGCAAAGGCTGTAAGTAGGAATATTTCAAGCCTAAGATCTTTTTCCTTTTGGTACAAGGACTAGAAACGTCTCTGGTCTGAAAGGTGGAGGAAAGGGGTTTTGTCAGTGAACAGTTTTCCCTGTTGCAGGGCCTGGACATCCCAGCAGGGCCCTACAGAACACTCAGGATCAGGAATTGTCTGGGAGATGTTTGGAACCAAAAGCTGTTTTAATGCCAAGTTGGGTTGTGTTTGTGAGAGGCCGATTTCAGATGAAAGCTGATGGATTTTACCGCTGGGAATGGGCTTGTGTTGGGCAGTACAGGTCTGCAGTGAGGACTGTTTTCCCTTGGGAAGTGCCAGGAAGGATCAATATTTGTTGAAATCTGTAGGGATTTGATGCAGCTCGAGGCCATTGCCTGGCCCTGCCACCCTTTGGGTGCCAGTGGATGTGCTGCAGCTCTGTCCAGCTCTGCACACAGAATGACAGGAGGCAACTCTGAACAAAGGCATTTCCTAAAACAAGAGGCTGCTCATCCAGCAGAACACGAGGCTTAAAGAACTGCAGCGACTTTCTGGAGATGACTGAAAACTTCCCGTGTCGTGGAGTTGTTGGATGAGCATTCCTGGCTGGGTGATGGCTCTGCTAGAGTGAGTTGCTGTGGAGAAGCAGAAACAACACTTGGTGAGTCTCCTGTCTGCTGCAAAGTCAAACTTGTGCTTTTTCCCTTTTTTTCTTTTTAAATTTTATTTTATTTTTATTTTGAATTTTTATTCCTGCGCTGTGACTCCAAAGTGTCACCATGGAAGCAGATGTTCAAAACACTGAATGGGAGAGCCATGGCTTTGGAGGGACTCACTGCAGCACACTGACCCTGGGGACAGTCTACGTGGCATCTCTTGGAAAAGCCTCACGGCTCTCAAGGAAAACAGATTGATTTTGGAGCTCCCTCCCAGCCTCTGTGGATCTTGGTAATTCTGCTCCACTGTAAACTGGAACATCCTTTTCCAAACAGCAGCTTTTCATATTCTGGACTTGGAGTTGGTTGTTTTTCAAATTTCAAGTCATCTACTCCCATTATAAGGTCTTTGTCTGCAGTTTTAGTGTGGAAAAGCCATATAATTTCTTTTTCTTCATTTTCTGTTGTTAAAGGAAATGTGTTTGTGGAAAATGGACATTAAAAAGGGGCTGCTTCTTGCAGTGTGTAGTGATCTGTTAACTGTGAACTTACAGAATTCAATCCTAATTTCCATGTAAGAACTTCCTAGGCACAGGATATGGAGCCACAACAAACAACATCTTGGCTATTTGAACCTCCAAGTTAGAAAACTTAATGAATGATTTGTGGGGAGCTTGTTGTGCTTTTTCCAAATGGATCTTCACAATTTGCTCCTTGCAGGTGATCCCTCAGGTTATCTCAGCTGTTCTGTTCCAGGGAGCATTACCTGCCTACATCTCAACACTGAGACTTTAAATGGTGTTCAAGTTTCTTTCCAGAATGGAAGTGTATAATTTACACTGTACAGGAAGGTGACAGAGCAAGACAGAAAGCTCAGTTGAGATCAGACTGTGTAACCCTTCTGCTGGAAGACTCCTTACCCTGACTCCTGTCCTTCATCTGTGTGTAGATAATTCTTACTAAATAAAGGATTTATCTTTGTGAATAGAAACGGGTGTCCTGTCCCAGTGGGCTCTGCAGCTTTGCTGCAATTCCCAGAGGAAACAGTCACTGCTATGGAATGTGGGGCTGGTAACCACTCACAGGGGTGTGGGGTGGCAGAAGGTGACTGAATTCCACCTGATCCCCCAGAAAGGTGAGTTCACAGAGTGCACCCGAGTTCTGTTCCCACTCAGCTTTTCCACTCAGCACTGGGTGTGTGGAGCTGCAGGAACAGGGGAAGGGCTCGTGTTCCTGCATCACACTGGTGGGAGTGAACATGACTGGGAGAAGCTTGACTGTTTCTTACTTTCAACACTGTGTTTTTATAAATGTAAACTCTTGTGATCAGTAGAAATAGAGCAGTTCTAACAACCTGCTTGAGCCCTTGACATGACATTGGCTGTAATCACTGCTTGGGTTTCTGCTGCAAGCAGCTGAAACTCAAAGCAGAAGGCAAGAAATGCTGCTGCTATTATTATTAACTATTTACATGTAATAGTGGTCATTCTTCTAGTGCACTGCACTGTATTTGATTTGAGCTACAACAGCCACAGGTCCTGCTGGCATCATGTCCAGGGGATGGATGGTGTGTCTGGGATGGATGGGTGGATGGATGGATGTGAGATCCTTGAGCAGCCTGGGGTTTCTCAGGTCTGGCTGGATGAACTCCCAGCTGTTGTCTCGAAGAGCTCATTTGCTCTGTCTGTAAACCATGCAGTGGTACTGCAGGAGTGCTCCATAAACGTTACTGACAAAACAAGTCACTGATTTTTGAGGGGAGAGAGTTTTAATGGGAATATATTTGGGGCATTTTATTGTATACCTGTAACTTCTGCTAGTGCCAATTTGAGTTGAGTGTCTGCATCGAGGAAAACACTAACTGCAAATCCAGCTTTTGGTAATCTTCACATAAATTAGGAATAACCCTGAGGTTACTGTGCTCGTTGCACATCCCATCAGTGCTCAAACAATGGGTGCAGAAGTGACAATTCACTGTTCTATGCATGGTTTTTAAAGTGTTGTGACGTGTCAGTGCTGCAGTGTGTAGATGTCTTCTTAGTGGAATGGCCATGTCATGGATGGAATGGTGGAAGTGGTAAATTGTAGATAATGTATTAATGTCTAGAACAGATAATGTAGAATGCAGCTACTTCTTGACTTGAATGTATAAATTTGATGTCTTTATAAGAAAATCCTTAAATGGTTAGTCCTTGAAAAATATCTTATTTAATTCCTGCCACATGACTTTTGATCTGTTTCTGCAGATGGTGGGACTAAACTCGGGGGAAAGCCATGAACTTTATCCATCTTGGAAAACCAGCAGAAAGCCTGAGAGAGGACTTCTCCAGAGGCAGGTCTGCAGGCTGGGGGGCGGGATCTCCCTCAGATGAGAAGTGGCAGTTGTATTAAGTTGCACAGTGCATTAATGAAATGAAAGAAAGAGCAAAAATGCTTTTAGTGGTATATTCAGGCCGAATTGAAAACAGGATCCCCAAAGCTGGAAGGATCCTGAACCATTTCTGCTCCCCCACAATAATTTCCAGATTTTAATGCTTCGTAGCCCTTCACAGAATTGTAAAGTAAAGCATTTAAGTCACACCAATGTAAAGGTCCCAGTCTTGTGATGGAGAGGGAAAGGAGAGAAGTTTTTCTCCTCCATTATGAGAGGAACAAAGAGCTTGAGCTGGATACATCAGGTGGTTTGGTGTCCTTTGAGTGCATTGTCAGTGCTCTGCAAGTGTCAGCTGAAGATTTTAGTGCCTTGTGCACACACCAGCAAATATTTAGAAAAGTGGAGGTTGAACAGATGAAAAGTTTCCATTTTGCACTCGTCAGACAAAGTGGAACGTGCAGGTCAGTCTGTAACTGGGAGGGGATGTTTCAAGCCTGTGCAGTAATTATGGAATGGGCTGGGAATTTAAAGCATGGAAATACATGTCCATGTGCTTTCACACAGGGCTGTAAAAAAAATCTTTATTTCTCCAGCCATTTGAAAAACTCCCTGGCTTTTGAAAAACACAGATAAAAGATTCAGCTTATTTACAATTTAAACCAGGGAATGCTTCCTGGGGAAAATAATGTTTGCAGAATCTGCAGAAGGTGATGAGTGACATCGTGTGTCGATGCTGTTACTTGAGATGGGATTGCAGGATATTTGGCAGGATCCAGTGGAGGGGGAAGAGCACGAGGCACAAGTATTTTAGGCTGGAGTTGTTTCTGCTTTGTGCAAATTGGTTCATTTCAAAGCCCACACAAGGTCTGTGCTGGTAACACACACACAAACAGTGTTTGCTAAGTTTCCAGGGTAAAAAATTAATGACCTGAGGTTGTACAATGCAGCGACATTTGGTTTTAACAATATTTTACACTATTTAAATGTCAGAGGAAGAGAAATTCAGAGCACTGAGCTTGGGTTAGGGGAGAAGGAAGATTTCTATGTTCAGTCCCCTCACTGCAGACTCTGAATACTGAGCTGGGCCTCATGTAACAGCAGCTGCTGCAGGGGTGTTCCTGGAGCTGGGCATGATCCCTTCTCCTCAGACATGACCGTGCTTTGCTCTCTGCCTCTTCTTCCTCCCTCTTCCCATATCTGGCCTGTAATTCTCCCTAAACATTTCTTGTCTATAAACTGGAGGAAAAAGGCGCAGCTTCTGTCTTAGGGCTGGACTTTTCCCCTCGTGTTCTCTGGAGGGTTGCTGCCTCCAAAGACTCTTCCAGGTGACCTTAGTGGGACATGGTGAGGGCCTTTGCACTGACTTTGGACCTCTATAGCCCCTGTCTTGCAGGGAGAGCTTTGCTTTGTGCAATGCTTGGGGGGCTCTGCCACGGCACCTGCACGTTCCAGTTCAGGCCTCAGATCACCCGAAACACAGAATCCCAGAATATGCTGAGTTGGAAGGGACCCACAGGGATCATCCAGTCCAACCCTCAGCCCTGCACAGGCCCAGCCCCAGGAGTCACCCCCTGTGCCCCAGAGGATCATCCCAACCCTCCTGCAGCTCTGGCAGCCTTGGGGCTGTGCCCACTGCCCTGGGGAGCCTGTTCAGTGCCAACCACCCTCTGGGGGAAGAACCTTTTGCTGAGATCCACCCTGAGCCTGCCCTGACACAGCTCCAGCCATTCCCTGGGGGCTGTCCCTGCTCCCCCCAGAGCAGAGCTCAGT